TAGAGGGGTTTGAGGAATCCAAGGTGGGATGTAGCTGTATGTTCCAATCCCCCCCACAAATTAGAACACCAGAAGACTGTGGCAATTAAATCAAAGATTTTCTCCGAGAGTCGTTCTGTCCCGGTGGATTATAAACATTAAGAAGTGTTACTTCCCTGGAATCAAGGGTCCCTTTCACCGTGACATAACGCCCCTCATTATCTGTAATCTGTGTAGAGATATGGAATGCCACCTTATTTGAAATCAGGATGGCAACTCCCCTTTTATTTCCTCTGTCATAGGAGGAGTAGTATGTACTTCTAAATCCAAGTTTTTTTAGCTTTTCATGTTTGGCTTTAACTAAATGAGTTTCTTGCCAGAAAATTAGATATTGGTTTTCTCTCTTCATTTTGGTTATGAGTTTTCCTCTTTTGACTGGATTTCGTAACCCTTTAACATTATGTGTAATTACCCTATATATTTGTTGAGACATTTATCTTAATGATTAGCTTCCTCATATTGCAGACCCATGGTGACCTTAACATTTTAACAGCATGTACAGAAACACGGAACCTGAAATTAAAGAACATAAAGATTTCCACAAATTAGATACTTCTTTAAATGAAGTTTCAATCAGGGAGGAAAGCCTTCAGTGTATGAAGGGCCTCCCCAGTGCCAACTGATGTACCTCTACGAGAATATACCTCAGTGCACGTGTCTGGCAGTATAATTTTAGCTCCCGGATAGAACGTCTGTTGCTTTAAACTATTTGGGCTACAGCAAAAGCCCCTAGTAGCTGCGTAGGAAATTGTTATATGAATTGAGAAAAACTAGCAAGAAAAGAAAAAATCTACTTTGTATATGAATTATACGTGAGATTACAAAAAACATATGTCCATTACTGACGACATTCGGGTGAAAACTCCTGTATATTGTTATTTTACAGATGGTATATTAAGAGTCTTTTGAACAGTCTTACCATAAATAATCCAGTTAGCATTCAGATGCGTTTTACCATGAGGAAAAGTCAGACAGCATCCTCCATGTCGTGGCGAAACTCTTGCAGCTTTTCCCATGCTCTTGCTCCGTGTACATCTCGGGGCTTGTGCTTTTTGGTGTTCGCCTTCTCTCAGGAGTTTTTCTTTAACCTCTCTGTAACAGTCGGGCCGTCGTCCTTGTTACTCTCCATGAACCCTCTCCTCCTCAGATCCGCCATCGCCTCTGCTGCGCTGTTATAAGAAATGGGGCCGCCATCGTAAAATACCCTGAGTTTGGCTGGTGGAGGTGTCTGGAAGCGGAGGCCCTTTTCTTTGAGGAGCTTTCTGATGGGCGTGTATGCCTTTCTTTTCCTCTGGGTCTCCGCAGGGTAGTCCTGATCAAAGTATACTCTGGTTCCGTTCAGATGAACTTCTTTCTTTCTCCATGCTGTGCGGACACCAATTCTTTAATCATGTATTCCAAAAAATAAGTCACAACTGACCGTGGGTTGGCATTTTGTGGGGGCTTGGGACCCAGCGCCCAGTGACAACGTTGTATTCGGAGTTCAGTGTCCGGGAGTGACAGTTCTGTTTTGATGAAGTTTTCAATGAAGTCAGGCATGTTGTCTCCTTCTGTGTCCTCCGGAATCCCGTATACCCGAATGTTGTTCCTTCGTGCGCATGCTTCCAATTCCGTCAGTTTAGCTTGCATATTTTCTTGGCTGCTTAGCGCTTGGCATAGCGCCTCTTTAGCCCTGGCATTCCACTCCTCAATGTCAGTCACTCGTTGCTCTGCCTCCACCACTCTGCTGATAGTCTCCTTCAAATCCACGGCGATATCATTTAATTTTTGATTGACGTCTTCTCGGAGGATTTGTAAACCTTGTTTCATGTCTCTGGAGAGGGTGTCTTGAAAGTTGTTCAGCTCTGTTTTCACGTCTGACCTAATAGCCTTTATCTCCGCATATATAGCACTTATGCTAGCTTGTAGGACATCCATGGCGTCTTGTTCGTCTATCTCGTCGTCAATGTCTTCCCCCTGTCTGTCTTATGGCTTTTTCTGGTCTCTGAAGCGCTTTGCTTTTAGCCTTTCGTTGCTTCTCCCCTTCCATAATACTATTTGACTTAAAAAGTAGCGAATTTAAGTTTTAATAGGGGAGATTTATTACGCCCATCCGGGAGCCGTCGCTTTGCACAGCCGCTCACCCTGACGCCATACCGGAAGCCTCTCCCGGTCCCCCTTCTTAAACAGAGGGACCACCACCCCGGTCTGCCAATCCAGAGGTACTGTTGCCGACCGCCACGTGACGTGTCAACCAGGACAGTCCCACAACATCCAGAGACTTAAGATATTCAGGACGGATCTCATCCACCCCTGGAGCTTTGCCACCGAGGAGCTTTCTAACCACCTCAGTGACTTCAGCCTGGGTGATGGACAAGTCCGCCTCTGAGTCTACAGTCTCTGCTTTCTCTTCGGAGAACGTGATGGCAGGAGGAGGAGACCCTCTAAGTATTCCTTCCACCACCTGACGACCTCCTCAGTCGAGGTCAGGAGGTCCCTGCCCGCACTGTAGACAGTGTTGTGGAGAGCTGCTTTCCCCTCCCAAGGCGCCGGACAGTTTGCCAGAATTTCTTCGAGGCCAACCGGTAGTCCTCCTCCATAGCCACCCCGAACTTCTCCCGGACCCGAGTTTTTGCCTCTGCAACTGCACGAGCTGCCGCATGCTTGGTCTGCCGATACCCGTCAGCTGCCTCAGGAGTCCCACAAGCCAAAAATGACAGGTAGGAGTCCTTCTTCAGCTTGACGGCATCGCTTACTTCCAGCTGCCACCACCGGGTTCGGGGATTGCCGCCCCAACAGGCACCAGAGACCTTACGACCACAGCTACGAGCGGCCGCAGCATCAATGGAGGAGGAGAACATGGACCAGTCGGCCTCCATGTCTCCAACCTCCCTCGGAATCTAGGAGAAGCTCTCCCGCAAGTGGGAATTGAAAACCCTGCTGACAGAGGGTTCCGCCAGACGTTCCCAACAGATCCTCACGATACGCTTAGGTTTGCCACATCTGACCAGCTTCTTCCCCTGCCAGCGAATCCAACTCACCACCAGGTGGTGATCGGTGGACAGCTCTGCCCCTCTCTTTACCCGAGTGTCCAAGACACGCGGCCAGAGTTCTGATGATACAACTACAAAGTCGATCATCGACCTCCGGCCTAGGGTGTCCTGGTGCCACATGCACATGTGGACATCCTTGTGCTCGAATATGGTGTTCGTGATGGACAAACTGTGACTAGCACAGAAGTCCAACAACAGAACACCACTCGGGTTCAGATTGGGGAGGCAGTTCCTCCCGATCACCCCTCTCCAGGTCTCACTGTCATTGCCCACGTGAGCGTTGAAGTCCCCCAGCAGAACAAAGGAGTCCCCAGTCAGAGGCACTATCTAGTACCCCTCCCAGGGACTCCAAGAAGGCCAGGTACTCTGCACTGCTGTTGGGCCCGTAGGCCGAGACAACAGTGAGAGACCTGTCCCCAACCCGAAGGCGTAGGGACGCGACCCTCTGGTGCACTGGGGTGAACTCCAACACATGGCGGCTAAGCTAGGGGGCAATGAACAGGCCCCCTCCAGCCAGCCCACCCTCCCCGCGGGCAATGCCAGAGAAATGCAGCATCCAGCCTCTCTCCAGGAGTTGGGTTCTAGAGCCCAGGCTGTGCATGGAGGTGAGGCCGACTACATCAAGCCGATATCGCTCAACCTCCCGCACAAGCTCAGGCTCCTTCCCCCCCAGCGAGGTGACGTTCCATGTCCCGACAACCAGAGGCTGTGTATGTGGACCAGGCTGTCGAAGCAGCCCCCCTCGACCGCCACCCAGTCCTCTTAGCACCCGACCCCTATGACTCCCTCTGCGGGTGGTGAGTCCACAGAAGGAGTTTGCAAAAATTTGAAATTAAATTCTTCACAATTTAAAAAAAAAATGAATTTCATAAGCAAAAAGCCAAAATAAAAAAAACTTGACATGTTTTACTTTACATGCAGTGAATATAGAATATATCAAAGATGACCTTTTTGAGTTTTTGGTAAAGTTGGTAGCATGTCATGCAAGATAAACCAGGCCCTACCTCAGCCTCTCAGCAATGTTTTCATTGTTTCATATTCTGGCAGATGTGTGTTTGCCTTTCATCACATCAGTAACCATTTTCTTGTGTCTCTTTGTGCCTAGACCTCCCACTGCACTATGTCTATCAGGAGGAGGAGGCTCCTGCCGACCTGCTTTGTAATCAGGAGAGGAACTCTGGTCTGCACCAGAAGAATCCGGACCATCTACAAATTGAAGAGGAACAAGAGGAATTCTGTACCAGTCTGGACCAGGAGGACCCAGAGCCTCCACAGATTAAAGAGGAACAAGAGGATCTCTGCACCAGTCTGGACCAGGAGGACCCAGAGCCTCCACAGATAAAAGAGGAACAAGAGGAACTCTGCACCAGTCTGGA